CTTCGGATGCAATAATGAGCGATAACGATGATTTCTGTTCACGACAACGGCCGGAGCATTACATCACCTTTTGAAACCCTTGGCTGAGACGTGCTGTCATTTCCCCCTTTGGACTACATACACGTGCATGGGAGCAATCAAATGTCCAACTACGCTGTGGTGTTGCGTCCTACTTGAAGCAGCAATGCCAATCTCAACAATTAAAATCGCGCAGTTAAATGATCATCTCTCATTATATGTGTCCCTCCAGTCCGTCGTTGCACATTCGTTGATGTGGAGAGATGGAAAGTGACGGAATTTAGACAATTTCGTCTTCAATCAGGGCCAGTTGTGCTCAAGAACGTATTATCGGACGACCTATGCGAGACATCTTTAAAACTGTTTATTGCTTTCTACATCGTTGCAGGCGCAAATGGGCTTCGAATTATCTGCCCAAGATTGTCGACCATACTACAGAATTGCGCGCAGAACATGAGTTAGTCTTCAACGTGTATACCTTTGTGCACTTACTTGGGGACATAGGTAATTTAGGGCCATTAGACAACGTATCTGCATTTCCGTTTGGAAGCTACCTCAGGTAAATGCGGACTTTGGTTCGTGAACCAAACAAACCGCGGTCGCAGCTATTTCGCCGGATATTGGAGCGCTCGCGGAAAACGGAAAACCTTCCGCATTATATGGCTGACTCTGGATCGGTAAAAGCTGACGGTGGCACGGAGAACACAAACTGTATCACTCACAACGGTTATCGCATTACACCGACCTTTCCAAACAATACCGTAATTGTTCGGTTTTCATCGTGTCTGGTACTTGACATTAGGCCATAAGAGGTTCGTGTCCAGTCATTAGTCCAAACCGATGCGCTATTTCAGATATTCATTACATCTCAAGATTTGTGCATTCGCAATTGCGGTGGTAATCCCACGGTTCCGGAATGGGGCTTCAACTAGATGTATCGCGTAAAAGCCTTCTTTTGTCTTGTTGACAATGTACTGTATTGCACTCCATTATACATACTTGTAAGTAGTTGTTTCTCGCTTGAACGTTTCACAGATGCACCGTGTGGTAGAGTTCACGGATTCCACCTTCCCCGTCGCTAACATAATCTGAATGCTAAACGAGAAGGAAGTTGTGTGGCCGTTGGTTAATTCGCGCCAATTGAATGTGTTGCCTATACAGCACTTGCCACTGCCAGCGATATTCATGAGGTACTGCGTTCGAACGCGTAAGTCGGCCGGTAGTTGAGAAGAATTTCTGTACTAATTCAGATCGACGATTACGTTGTAGCTAACCACCTAGAATGTTAATGGATTTTTCTGAGCTACCGTCCAGTGACGCCACATACCAAATGGAATGATGAGGATAGAGAAAAATGTAAAGCATGTATATAACGATTCCCATTTGCAGACGGCCAAAAGTGATTCTTAACTGTGAAACTCCACTCAAGACTGTATGTAAAGCAAACAAGAAATACTCCGCGGATATCATCTATTCCACACCATCGCATCCTTTGGTGTTGGAGGAAGACCTGTACATTTCGTCTGAGGAAGATAACATGTAACCGAGCCGCTCACTGGTTAACATGAGGTAAAAACTGACTTTATTTTAACCCGGTTGAGCCTAATTGTGCCTCACGCAAGTGTAGTCACGTCCGCGCAGATACAAAGTGATTGCAAGCAAACTATTACGTGCAGGCGAGGTAAGTACTGAGTATAAAGGTTACTTTTTCTATACAGCGGAACACTGTACTGTGGTGTAGGGGGTAATAAGGAGGAAGGAGGTTGCTTAGAAATCAAATTTTCAACTAACACATTGAGGTACGCTTAACTGGCTAAATATACAGACGTTATTTGTTCACTGATGCTTCCCCTTGGACATCCTTGCTTCTCTCATTAACAGTAACTAAATATTGCATGAACTTGCGGTAATGCGGAAAATGATGTTTCCTTTTGAAATCACTATATACCGGTCGGGCGGATTATTTTTCTCAAATCGGGGGTAATTCATTGCGCAGTGCCATAACTGGCATCATGCAGGGGTCTATGACGAATAACTTTTCTCGGCAAGTAAACTGGGGAGGTGTCCATGAGAAATACCGCGTTGTTGACACCCTGTTCGCACGCGCAGTTATGGGTAATCGAATAATGCCGTTCAGTTGTCATGGTGTATGCCGAGCTGGGCAACTTGATTGCAAACGTTTGCCAACATTCGAGGTGGCTTGATCAGTGTAGGATTGATAGAAGTGCTAGCAGGAGCTGATAGAGGGTAAACCCAATGATAGAATAATGCCGTAGTAAGGATACTTCTTACAGAGGCCGTACTGCGTAAGTCGTTTCCTGGTGCCCTGATCAGTCAAAAGATCAAACGTTAAATTCAACGTGCAGCGAGAAATGAGGGCGTGGACCTCCGTTCCAGGTAAATGACTCATGTTTCTGAGGCAAATATGTAATTTTCCGTAAAACTTAAACATGTACATACATTCGTGCGTGTTTCGACGAATTTGCGTGCATTTGTTGCGTTCATGTGCTACAACCGCGGCAGCAGGTGGGGCCAGCATAATAGGAAGTCTAAGGCAATACGTCTGGGAAAACTGAAAGAAAGACATAGCGAGCGCGTTGCAGTCCGAATCTTATTACAATTAGCACTTATGTTGGACTCACAGAAGATTACCAACGGACTATCAGCGGATAGTCGTGCCGGCAGCGAAGCTACGCTGAACCACCAAAACTAAAAGTCTAAAATGAACATGATCCACCCCAATGGAAAATGCGACCTATTTGTTAAAGTCATTAAAACGAGAAGAACGTGTTTCATTTACAACCAACTGGTTATTTCTAGCTGAATCATCCGCCAGTGTCTCCTGGCGAGATTATGTCAAGCAATTTAACCGACTAGCAGCCAGTGCTTTGGCAAGAGTAATGGGGGATCGTGTATTCATTAGAGATCTAATCTGGCGAATAAACGGGAAATCACCAGGATCTGAAACATGGTAAGAGTATGCTGCCAAACGATATTATTGCGAGAACATGGTAAGCGGTGTCAACTAAAGCATCTGCAATATTCGAATGTGAAATTCTGTTTAAACCCCAAGTTCCTTTACAATCACTATAGCAAACTCCGTAAAATGCAGCGGGGGATTCCTGCCCGACCAACTTCCAGTGAACGAGCACATACTGCGGCAAAAGCGGTCAGCACCCTATCTCAGCAATTCTTCACAAGTTCCCAGTGCACAAGTTCCTCGCCTATGCTGTCCACCCAAGTTGAGCCACCACCAGGACTTACCCATATCTTGTTTGCAGCCGTAGAAGTTTTGAAGAAATTAATTTCCTTTCGCGAGCTTACCTTTACTTGTGCTGACAACATCCACCCGAAAGCGCTAAATGCATTTGGCGGACTAGCTGTCTCACTTCCTCCAGCTGTGTCTTGATGTGATTCGGGCTCCAAGAATGTGGGAGCACGGATCGTCATCCGCATTTGCAAAAGGGGAAACTGTGCAGATCCGACCAACTATCACCGAAAAAATCTGCTTTCGGTGCTTTCCAAAGGCATAAAGGCAATTATAGTCGAAACGATTGCGGGTTACTTGGAATGTGGTTACGTCATAGCACCAGCACAACAGGGATCTCTCCAGAACCGACCTTGCACCAAACTCTGCTACCGGCTTGCTCCGGTTGTACCGAAACTGTAGACAACGATGTGGGTGTCGGGACACTTTATCTAGACTCCTCAAAGACGTTCGACAGTCTGAACCACTGCATCCTCCTTCACAAGCTTCAGCGCCTTGAAATTGATGATCCCTTCCTCGGATACATGGGTGACTTCCTATTCAACTACATCTGAATGCGAGGGCTTGAAGCGTCATTTGAGACCACAACGATGTTCATTGCCAAGTGTCACAAAGCTCAGCACATGGTCTACCCTATTACCTGTGTTACCTAAACCACCGCGCAAGAGTGATCACTTCAAATCTCTTGTTTTAACCTGATGATCACAAAAGTAGTGGACCAACAAAACAACATCTGTATACGTTGCACTGCAGGATGATTTTGACAGGCTATACGAGTGGGAGACACACAAACTGTCAAATGTGTCACTAAGTGTAAGACCTTGAGTGTGCACCTTCAATCCACCACAGCCTGTGTTATCGAGTCTACCAGCGCTCTTCCATTGGATAAGACCTGGGAGTGATGCAACAAGACGATCATGGTTAAACATATCTGACCAAGAAATCGTCCTAAGAGTCAACCAATACCTTGGCCTATTACGACTAGAACCCTCCATTACCTGTCAGATGTATAACACTTATATTAGGTCCGATTTGGAATACGTCGTACCTGATACAAGCACGACCTCACCGCACTTGAAATATCACAGCAAAGAGACCACGAACGTAAAGGGTCTGTTTCATCTCGCTTACCGACGGAGTATGAAAATCCTTGGGGTTCACAGCGGACGCTATCGATGCCTGCGTAGCGATTTGATAATTACCTATATAACCCTGAGCAATCCGAACCATGCCCATCGGTAGTTAAAACTAGACCGCAATACCACTCTTAGAGGTCACTAGCTAAACTGGCCACACTGTATAGCCGCTTGGAGTTCCACTGGAATTGCATTTCATTTCGTGTGCCAAACGCGGAACCTCCTCCACGCTTACGTTTTTCTTCCCCCCCCCCCATACTAACAGAATTTTATAATCATCTCAAGGATAAACTCATATATTTACATTGTGCTATACTGTCCGCTGTGATTGGGCGTCAACGTAACAAGACCAGTCAATACACCCAGATTGTCTTTCTGCTGAGTCCAAAAACGTTAGCATTTTTTAAATAGACTCTACCTTTCCATCTTATGGAACATGTGAGGAGTTAGTTTTGTACTCATGACAATTCATCGTTCCCATCGTTTGCCTGGATTATCTAGTTTCTATCTAAGCAAAAAAGTCTACCAGACACATTCGATTTTATCGAAAAGCGTGTATATCTTTATCGTTGAAATCAGGGTGAATCAATAAAAAATGACTGATAGGTTTATGTGTACAGAAGCCAGTGAACTTCCATGAACTTACTATCGTAACATAACATAAAGAAGAAAGTGACATGTGTGTTTCATGGCGCGTCAGTAAACTTGTAATTCCCTTCCAGTGGTTTTTCATAACTAAAGTGATGTGGCGCCTCCAAGCAAGATCTTCAACCTCTTCGTGGGCTGAATCTAGGGACGCGTCGTAACGTCATGGTGTCCACTTCTGGTTGACCGTAACCCATTTCAACGGGATAGGTTCTTGTGGAACCTCGACGCGAAAGAACCGGTTCGCAACCTTCATAAGTGGTCACGCGTTCACCGTATTGCGACTTGATGATTGGAGGCGGTTGCTCCACATGCTGCACCATGAACGGTTCGGTTACTGTCTCTTTGAAATGCACATGGGGCGAGCCGGTGTACACGTATGTGGACGTCGTTGGGAGTTGTGGCGGTTCAAGCAGTTGAGTACCGTAGTGGTGGACGACTGGAGATGGTTCCCGCTCAAGGTAAACTGAAAGACAAATAACGGAGTTGCGCGTTCACAGTACGTGCGTGCTGCGCCCCAGCACGTGTGCAAATAGTACGGAACAGTGGGTGCGTAACCAGAATAAAGTTTAATAGTGCAATATACAGCTAATCCCTTAGGAGTGGGTGCTCGATGGTCACCACTAAGCGCGAATTGACTATTTTAATAAGAAGAGGCGAATTAGAAGACGTAGTTTTTGAAATGATATCGTCATTTCATGCAAGCTAATCAGTCACAAAATATGTGACATATATAAAACAATGTCATAAGAGATCCTGCGTGACAAAACGCTTGAGCTACCAGAGTAGACTTAGAGACACCTTCAGTTCTCTTTGCAAGTGCAGCGGTGAGCATTCGCGGTCAAAAACGATAGCCTCCAGTAGTCTGAGCATGAGAGACCGCGGATCGCGCATTAGGACTGTGAACGACTTATCAGGATTGATTCGGTGGTCGGTGCTGAGTTGAAAAAAAACATCCAATTAATGCAGCTCCATGGCACGTGATTTGTCACCAAGTTAAAAATTGTGACTCCGAAGTGTTTACAACGCTCACAGAAGTTACTACAAACAGTTCTTGTGCAACATAGTTAACATCTGAAAAACTGGAACCCGTCGATGAGTGGTGTATTGTAGTCATGCAACTGGGACGATAAAAGCGTGTCCCAAGATGTATCGCTAACTATTCAAATGTAAAAGTAGTAATCAAGGGTTTACGGATATTTGTAAGAACTGTATATAGACAAATCAGTTGGTTGTTGGCATGCTGATGCATTGCATTTCATGAGTTGTGCAGTTATGTGCTTGGAGTGCATATGCGCGTATGCCTCCGGTAAGCACTTTCATGTCATATGGTAACCTGGCGGAACCCCTCTCATTCAGGCGTCGATCCCAGAAAACCTATACCGTTTCGGAACGCATGATAAGGAAATGCGAACATCACAGAAGCCTAGTTGTGCACTATTTATTCGCCAGTATGAGAATCAATATAAAACATCGATATTCCAGAAGTATTAGTATATGTCACCAAAAGCGGTTATACAAACGACACCAGCAAAGAAGATTGGATTGTACACCCGTAGAAAAGATGAATCACCGTGCAAAACTGTAGCTAGAGGGAGTACGCATCGTTTCCCTGAGTAATGGGCAACAAATACCCACAAAAAGTACACACAAGTGAGCACGGTGCAAAGACACACACTTTAGCCAAGCGGTGAAGAAGATACTGAAGTGTTCACCGAACGCCGCGTTTGTACACACTATAGTAAGGTTATTTTGGTAGCGATGGAAGAACTTTAGTCACCCGACGCAATCTTAACGGACCTGTTTCTTCATGTGCCGGTGCATCGTCCACGAAAATCAGCGAAGCCGGACGACCGACGGTGCGTCGGACCACTACTGGAGATGGCGGGTGATCCAGGTATGCCTCCTGTGTTACTGTCTCTAGTGGCCTGTCAACTCTTCGCAAGATGACGGGATCTGGATCCGGTTCGTTGGCGAACGTTTGAGCGGATCTTGCATAGGTTGTTTGCGTTTGTACGACTGTAGGGGCTGGTGTCGGAGGAGGTGGTACATTATTTCGGATGGTGGACTTTCGTCGTACATAAACCGGAGATGGAGTTTGTTCCCGAACAGTAGTCACACGTTCCACATAAAGTGGTGACGGTGTCCTCGCTGAAGCCATGTAGTTGTAGTGCGGCTGCTCGATCACTACGGCTGGACGCGGTGGCTCAGTACTGAAAACCACATTGGTTGCATGAGCGTCCAAATAGTCGTGGTCCCGCTCAAACGACCGGTTGTATCGTCCTTGAACTCCGTAAATCATACCTTTGATAGTATTTAGGTCAGCGTTGTTCTGGGTTCGGAAGGTCTGGTACATCCGACATCCTTCGTTCTCCCCTTCAAAACACATCATGAAATGGTCCGGTTTATGATGGAAGGTGTAGATTCGTCTCACATCGTCGTACGGAATATCTCGACGATACAAGCGCTGCGCTCCCATGGTAGCTCGAGAAAAGTGCACTCGGTCGGGGAGAAATTTCGCCACTCCGGGGGCTAGGCCTTTCTCCAACTGACGATACAACACCGAATTTGCCAGACTTTCGTTTAAATAGTTTGGCCCATTCACTTTTGTCTGTCCAATGACGTCCACTGTCACGCCATACGTGTAATCATGCTTCCTCTGCATTAGATTGAAAGCAGACCAGGGTGAAAAGTGATCGTCGGTGAGCCAGCCCACAAGAATACTGTAACCAGCAGAACCAACCACTTTTTATCGACACTGTTCGTATTGGTGGAAAGAAGGTCACTGTGCTTACGAATGGAACCCCTGAGCTACCATTCGCATGATGCATTCAATTACGTGTGTGCTTGCGGAGATGTGCGAATTAGAACTACAGCGAACTCATCGATCTGCATAACTGAAGTCCGACATTTCGATCGGGAACAAATTAAGGACTCCCATAAGTCACCATAAGAAACAGATGGAGATCAATCGTGCCACGCCAGTGCTAATCGACGTTAGCAGAAACGCTTAGCGGTGACAGAAAGCGTATAGAGCGCTGAGATGGGGTGAATATAGTCCCAAGGTGTTTCTGCGCTAATTGATCACAGCAATCTGTAGTGGTCTCACGTGAGTCTGATTTTGTTCGCACATTATGACTACTAGAGGGGGATCGCAGCATTGCTCGGAGCGTATACAGGCATGTGATACGTAATCAAAGAGAGCTTAGCCAGTAAATGAAGTGGTTTGCTAAGGATAGTTGAGTGATGCCAAGAAAGTAAGTGCGAAAATAACTAAATAAATAATTCATTTACCGACAGCGCGAGACACGATCCAGGCGGTTGGCCCGAATAAATTTTATAAAGAAATTGCAGAGAACGATGGTTGTCCAAGTAGATAAACAAATACACAATTTCGATATGACAAGACAAACCTCAGTTGGCGTGGTTAGTCGGTCATACGAAACAGCAATGTAACGATCATCTGGTAATCAGCAGAGTGTACAAAAATTACACAGTAGCACGTCGTGTGTGTCAATGACATTCCGATGAATGCCGTGACAGGACGTCGATTTTCCGGTCTGGGCAATGTAGTAGTTAAGGTTGCTCCTGACGTTCCTATGTATGAATGAGTATCTCAAGTAGAGGACCATGGTGGGCAACGGAGAATGGAACTTCCACGGAATGTACACTCCGAATCTTCCATTATTCGTGAAGTGAAATTTGTTCCTTGGAGCTCATAGGAGTGAAGGATCGCAGTAAGATGATCCCGTGTCAGCTCCATCAATGAACAACGAGCAATGATATATTACAGGAAAAAGCGATCGCTTTACAAGTCCCGTAGGATGGTTGAAGTGAAAGTAAACATAAGTGTAAATCGTCAATTTAAGCGTCTAGTGAATTCAAGTGCTCCTTATTCATAGAAACGTTATAGAATGTGTACTGAATTGTTACTGTAGAGTAATATGGGAAGTAATATGGGTAAGGCATGTCTTAAGAACCAGAGAAACGACCAACGCTTACTCGTGCGCCGCTTTCTTGGACTTGGGTAAATTGATGAATGCAGTTGTAATATATCCGAAACTATGTTCCACAACAGCAGTGTGTAAATAGTGAAGCACAAAAGCTGCGAATGAGCACCGTTTTTTTTATCGAGTTTGTTTAAAGTGGACATCTCTGATTATATAGCGTAATGTAGGTGGATAAGCGAATCATCGAGACGTCCTTTGAATGCCGTTAGTGTGAGAAGAGCGTTCCAATGTTCGCATACACGAAGGGTAAAGAAATTCCGGCGGCATTCTAACCGGCTGTATTGTGTGGCCAGCTTTAGCTGGTGTCCTCTGAGTGTTGTATTGTTATTCAGCTTTAGTAGGTGACGACAACAATGATTTGGATTCCTCAGGATCATATAAGTCATTATCAAGTCCCCACGCAGGCGTCGATATTGTCCACTGTAAACCCCGAGGGTTTTCAGCCTCAATCGGTAAAGGAGATGAAACAGGCCCTCTACGTTCTTGGTCGAACTTCGTTGTGGCAGTTCAAGAGCGGTAAGGTCTTGCTTTTGCCACGGCTGCCAGGCGTGGATGGCGTACTCAGAATGAGGCCGAAGGTAAGCGTTGAGCATCTGAGAAAAGAAGGAAGGATCGAAGCGCCCAAATGCCCTCCGCAAAAGACCAAGGTTTTGGTTAGCTTTTTTGGAGGCATTCTCCGCCTGACGGGAACAGCCCAGATCTTCCTGCACTACCACTCCTAGATCGTATTCCGTTGTAGTGCGCTGCAATATTTGATCCCCCAGTCTGTATTCGCAAGAGCAAGGAGAACGCAGATCCTTGCGAGCCGTCGTTCTATTGGGGGCCATCATGATGGCAGCGGGAAAAGCACGATCCTTGCCTACGCAGTAAATAGGAATCCAACAGCCGTTTGAAAATTTGCCTTTGTGCGCTGAGGACTGTCTCGGGTGAATGGTTCCAGTCTTCCATCACACGAGTGGACAAGGTGACATCGGAGTCTCCAGCAGTAAATAGTTTTCAAGGGTGACCCCAAATCGAACTATCAAGTATGAGCTGAAAAACTCCTTCATTTCACCCCCACCATCCTTCACTAAATGCGTCCGGTGCATGTCACATCACCACAAGGAAAACGGTAATCCAAGGAGAACACATTCATTGTTCGAACTCGATGGGTGTGTAGCAAATTCCGGATCACTGAGATGGATTTTGACCATCGCCATTGGACTCTTTCTATCAGAACACGTTAGCTCTTCGTAAGAGAATATGCCACGGGTGAACAGTATTCGAAGATAGAGCGCAGGTGAGAAGTAAAAAGAAGTCGGAAGACTTCTAGAGTCATTCGGGAATAATAGCACCTTACGGTACAGAACATCCTGTTAGCAGCCGCTACCTTCCTCAAAGTGTCCTGGATTGTGTGCAAGTCAGGAGACACAAGTACGCCGAGGTCCTTCGCACATACAGCATTTCTGAGCAAGAAACCAACAATTCGATAAGCACCGTAAGGATATGACGCACCAATTGGGAGGGCAGAGTACTCGCACAGTTGTGCTGAGCTGTGTAACCGGTCTAGGGATATTTGCAAATCGGTAAGCGTCTTCGCGTTTGAACGTCTCCAACCATCGGCTTAAGCTGCCAGCATATAGCAAGTAATCCGTTCGGATATGATTAAAGGTCATTGATGCATACTTTTAACATCTCAGAATCAAGGACGGTGCCTTGCGGAACTCCACTTGTCATAATAGTTCAAGAGTATATGATGGGATAAATTTACAAGACCTACAGGATGGATATGCAAAAGAAAATTAAAAGCAAAATGTTCCAACGTGGAACATCAGTAGTTGGGCCATTGCGCTTTATCAAACTGTTGTGTAGCCTTTGTTACTAAGATGAAAGTCTAATAGTCTTCCGAAAGTCGTAATGTCTGGTGCGTTCACCAAATATCTTGGTAATACATTCTAGTGAGAACAGATTCTAAGTGAGCAAAAATACTTTTTTTCAATTCAAACGGGAGAGTTGCGTTATTACTTTCAGGCAGTTGCCTCGCCTTTGTTTTTAAGGGGCTAGGGTCAACAGTGATGTACATGGATGCTTATTTTCAGTTAGTATCCGGCATGTGAGAGTAAGATCTCCGTGAAGCCGTCGGTATTCTGATGAGAACACACCGAGTACACGAAGACGCAGTGCGTAACTTAGACCGGATAGTCCACGCGTTGCCTTTGTGGCTCTTGTTTGGGGTTATTCCAATAGGTGAATGTCTCGTTTTAACCATGGACACCAGGCCTGAATTGCATATTCAACATCAGGGCGAATATAGGAGTTAATCAGCATTGGTACTAGCCGTCGTTCAAAGGTGCCGAGAGCTCGCCTCAAAAGTCGCAAGTTCAAGTTCGCCACACGTGTTACTTTCAAACATTGAAGCGAATTGCCAAGACTATCTTGCACGATTATAACTAAGTCGTCTTCACTAGTCACATGTTGCCTCAAAAGATGTGTTGACGAAGCTGCTGCGCATAGTCAGCAGGTGGCACTTTGCAGGGTTCAGTGGGAGCTGGTTCCTTTCTGCTCATTCGTTAATCCGAGTCAGATCTAGCTGGAGGCAGACACGGTCGAATGCCGAGCGAATTGTTCTCCATATTTTAGCATCGTCTGCAAATATTTGCATCGGAGATAGAATGTCTGGTAGAAGGTCATCAATGTAGACTAAAAACAGTAGCGGGCCGAGGACGGATCCTTGTGATACACAACTGGAGACGCACTGGCTTTCAGAGTGAGTGTCAGCCACTCTTACCTTGATTGCTCTGTCGTGTAAGTAGTCTTCTGACCAGGTGAGCCGCTGACGGTTGATAACGTAGACAACAAGACTTTGGAGGAGAAAGTAGTGATTTAACCTGTTGACTGCTTTAGCAAAATCCAAGTAAATCACATATATGGGGACTCCTTCTTCAGCCGCCCTGGTCCATGAGTCCCGAGTAAGCAGCAAATTGGTGAAAAAAGATCGTCTGCGTCTGAAACCATGTTGGACATTAGAAATGATTTGTTGACTTACAAAATACCGCGTCAGTTCATCTGCGATTACCGATTCCATCACTTCTAATTAAACAGGAGAGTAATAGGTCGGTAGTTGGCAGGAACCCGTCGCTTACATCCCTGGTATATAGGAGTGATAATTCTATTTTTCCACTCGGAGGGGAGTGTATGGGAGTTAAGCAGACCTTGGAAAAGGTTGCAATTAGTGCGGCTATGGTGGGAGCAAGGGTTTGAATTCCTTTTGAGTAGATCATGTCACTTCCAAGGGCACTGTACTCCCGGAAAGACTGTAATTTGCTTGCAACAACTGCTGAGGTAAAGGTGATGCTGGATAAGCGAACGACATTTGTTGGGAGTTGATAGGGCGAAGGTTCCATGGTATTTGTAGCTACGGAGCCAAGATGCAGGAATATAGCGTTCGCGGCATCCAAAGCAATAGTTGTTAGGCCACTGGCCGTCTTGAGTGGGGGTATTCCGGGCTTGACCTTTGCCATTCACATACCTGGATGGTAGTTTGATGTTACGCGTAAATTCCAGTCACATGTTTTCCTGCCATTCGTACCTATCGAATTTAATGAGCGAAGTGCAGTAAATAAATAACGAAACAAATGCTTTATATTTTCTGGACGATGCGAGAGACTATTCCCACATAGAGAAGGATCAAAATATTTACAGATTTTTCATTTAGTCC